CGGGAGGCTGAACCAGGTGTTTAGAAAGGCTACGGTTTCAATTGGTCAGAATAGAAAAATTGATGCCTAGACTCGCACGAATTTTAGGCGTTAAGAACTATTGGCTGGAACGGTTACGCACAGCAATTAGGCTAAAAACAATAACAGTCGGCAAGTGAGTGAAAAGAAATAAGTAAGAGTGAGTGAAATAATACCAATTGCGTGATGCAATTGTTATTGTCATTATTATTCCTATTTGCCGATATGTCATGCTGGAAGTGTTCAACTACCCTTTCTGCAGGCAGACGCCCAAGTATTTTTGCTGAACTCTCCCGTCGAAGTTCATTCGAAGTTCTCACTAACCCTTTCTCCAGGCAGAGGTCCAGGTTTTATCGCCGAATTCTCCTGCTGGAGTCCCTAAGTTGTCCAAGAGCGGTCGTTGGTTCTTACCCCGTTCTCTCTCTCGGAACAGCGAATTAATCTATTTCCTACCGCGAACCTCTATTTTATATCTATTGGTTGCTATCCACAGTCGTCGTATGAACAAAGTCGTTGTCAAATTCGCTTCTAGTGGTTTCATAAGACGGTCCTTGTCTTCCGCGAAGTAGCTTATATTCTCGCTTCGCATAAATTATCCATACATTTTGGATCTCTTGCTACTTTTCGTCGTTCTAGAATTTTCGTATCGGTATATAATATTTTAATTCATTTCTTGATGTGCAGAAATATTTTATCGAATCTAATGGATTTATGATTTATTCAACGAATAGTAAATTAGTAATACAAGATTGAACTCATTTCATTGATTTTTGTAGCACGCGTTTTCTCAAATTTTCTTTCTGCGTGCTACAAAATTGATCATTTACTAACTGAATTTTCTCTTTTATTGATCGTTAATTAACAGAAAGAAAGCATGAATACAATCGCTGTTGGAAATTACAAGGATTTACACACATCTGCACATACACTGACGCAAATGCTAGTATAGTCAGAAAGGGTGCAGCTAACAAGACTGACCTGCAATTTTATGGCACTTACCCTGAACACAAAGGGCCGAGGAAAACCAGGAAGAAGTCGGACGTCAAGGAGCCACAGCAGAGAGCACAGTTATTCAGTTGTTTTTTAACCGACTTCGAAAAAGGAGGAGGTTACTCAATTCGATCAGTATATATTTTTTTTTCTATGTATGGTCACCGATTACACCTAGCTGTGTGGACCGACCGGAACGAAACATTTTGCATCTGGTAGGTTCTGACTCCCCATTGGTACCATTATCAACAAATTTTATATTTTTAGAAGTAATTTCTATTTCATTCAATTGAAAAAACTAACTTTTTAGTGCATTTCGAAGTCGGTGCATTTTTTTTCTTAAAATTATTTTATATACATCTCGTGTCTAATTTCATACAGTTATTTTAAAAATCACTGTAAGTAATTTATTCCTTTATATTTGTGTTGAGTAAAACATTGATATTTTATTATATTTTCTCTTACTATGAAAACATCAAATCAGTTATTTATTAGTTTAAATTTTTTACAGTCTTTGCTAGTTTTATACCATTCAAATTTATTTATTTCGGTTTATTTGATTACTATTGCAATGATTTTTGAAAAAACTTATGTTGAAAAAACTAACTTTTTAGTGCATTTCGAAGTCGGTGCATTTTTTTTCTTAAAATTATTTTATATACATCTCGTGTCTAATTTCATACAGTTATTTTAAAAATCACTGTAAGTAATTTATTCCTTTATATTTGTGTTGAGTAAAACATTGATATTTTATTATATTTTCTCTTACTATGAAAACATCAAATCAGTTATTTATTAGTTTAAATTTTTTACAGTCTTTGCTAGTTTTATACCATTCAAATTTATTTATTTCGGTTTATTTGATTACTATTGCAATGATTTTTGAAAAAACTTATGTTGAAAAAACTAACTTTTTAGTGCATTTCGAAGTCGGTGCATTTTTTTTCTTAAAATTATTTTATATACATCTCGTGTCTAATTTCATACAGTTATTTTAAAAATCACTGTAAGTAATTTATTCCTTTATATTTGTGTTGAGTAAAACATTGATATTTTATTATATTTTCTCTTACTATGAAAACATCAAATCAGTTATTTATTAGTTTAAATTTTTTACAGTCTTTGCTAGTTTTATACCATTCAAATTTATTTATTTCGGTTTATTTGATTACTATTGCAATGATTTTTGAAAAAACTTATGTTGCCAGACAAAATTTGTATCTTGTAAGATCTGTAACATTTCAATGCATTTATTCCAGTTTGTAGGTAATGTTCAGATTACTGCTGTTGAAAGGCATAATTCTTTCAAACATAATTTACCAACAAATTTTTTATCATACAAAAATTCAAAGTCAATTAAATTACTTTTGATTAACTTAATTAAGTGAGATAGATCATTGAATTCAATTAAGTCACTGTAATTAAGTCATTACTTGAACGAAGAAAGCAGTTTTTGCTGTCTGATTACAATAATAAATTACTCATAATGTGTACAAAGATGTCTTTTGTAAATGATCATATTCATGGTATATTATTACCTACTAGTCACCATTTTATCAATTTCAACATTTTGTGAAATATAAATTTTATCAAAGCTTAACACTTTAATGGCCCAACACAGTTAAATGGTCCGGCAATATTTTTGACGAATTAATTTTAATAAACTAATGTAAATTCCCGAAATAATTCAACGTGTGTGAACATACATAAATAAAAAAACAGTAATAATTTAATAAAAAATTTAATAATATGCAAACAATTTAATTTGTAAAATACGGTAGCTTTGGGTAAGACATTTGCTCCATAATTTATGTGGTATAGCAGTGTAGTGGAAAATATAAAATTAAAAGCAGGTAATAAAACAATAAAACAAAGACGTAGTGGTGAAATACGGGATAAATAGCAATATTTACATTTGTTTACATTTAGAATTCATCACACATCATGTTGTTCCGAATGTGCGAAGGAACACAATACGCGAGGATTTCGTAGGCAGTTTATGATGGATCCGGATCTAATAGTTATTTTTGAAAGACAAATTTTGGTCATCGCTGCCAATTTAGTTTGACATTTTTTCGGACAATGCTTTTAGAATTTCAACTTGCATTTCGTCTTCAATAACGACTCCATCATAAACGGCGTTTTTCCGGGAGGATCAACGAGGTCAGGCCTCGCTCCTTTCCTAGCGGTATTTTTTAGGACAACGTGCGTGTCACCTGGAGGGAAAAACCCCGGCATTGCCGACTTTCGAGATCCTCCCGTACTCATCGGTATTTTTCCCACCCTCTTCCAAAAAAGACGCGCTCAGGACGCAAGAGAGGGTGGGCCCAAGTCAAAGGCCATGTTAATTGGAAAATCAACGTTTCTAATGAGAACCAATCAGCATGCCTCCTTGAACTTCCGACATTTCGAGGAAGCGACGACGAAGCGTATGGTTAGAATCCATAAGAAAATCAATCGAATTGGACTAAAAATTCTTACTAACGTCAATCGTGTCGGACGTAAAAATAATCAATCACTAAGTCATTCGCTTCGGACTTAGAACAAGAGTCAACCATTTGGGACTCTAAGGTCACTCGTTTCGGACCTGCAATATAAGAGTCAATCATTATCGGGCTCAGGATTCAACCGTTTCCGGACTCATTGTAAACCATTATTCCAAAGATTAACTCGATTGACTTCCAAAGATTTTCGAATAAACGTGCGCGAGTCAGCATACGTGTTGTATGAACGGACGCTAACGGTTGGCTCGGTCATCACACACGTTTCGTATGAGCGGCCACTAAAGTATTAATATGCGAAGTTTTTTGTATCAGAACCTTGACATGATTTGTAACTAAAAATTTCAATAAGCACTCCTTTTTTCAGTTATATTGTATTTGCTCAGTTTCCCAATATTGATACTTCTATTAAAAAGAATTCGTTGCTCTCAAATATTTTTAATCTAAATTTTATAATATTTGCGGATTTTAATGGTTGATGATATGTTAGCATTAAACCAACACACTTTTTGTTTAATTTGAATGCAAGGAAATAATTTTATCTTTAACCCTTTCGCTACATGAACGTTCGTGACAAAATGTGATCGCGGTGAGCGGAGCACATTAGTGAGTAGTTGATACTGATAAATTATTATTATTACTTTCATGATAGTAAATTGTTTTAGGCATGCAACATCACCAGATACTCGATTAATAAAAGTATCTTATGTAAAGTGTGAAACAAAAGTATGTAAATATAGAATGAAGCGCACACTTTTCCAGAGCGTATACATATTTACGCTCTTATATGAATGGTCATTCTTCGAGGGCGTATTTTTTAAGATTCTTTTTTGTATATATAATTTTTTATTTACTGTTGTCACTTCATACTTTGAGTGAAGGTAAAATAATATAATATAAGTACTTTATATTTTTAAAACATTCGGAACAGAATGCCAATTATTTAAGAATTTAAAAATTTACTACACTTTTCTCATTAAAATTATTATCTGGTTGTACATTTTCAGTACTAAAAGTAAAAAGGTTTATATTTTAATAATTACATTAAAAAAATATATAATACGTTTAAAATATCTTAAAAGTATAAAATGATTGTGACCTTATCTCGAGAACCACTTCTATTAACCGTTATATCGATATAAGGTTGTTCAATTATTTAGTCAAGAAATAGGATATAACATCAATGTTTACCAATTTCTTAAAACAACTTCGTTCCTTCGTTTTCTTGAAGTTCAATATTAAACAATTGACATGGAAGAAGAAAGTAATAATGGTTTTTGATATGTTACTGAATTTATTCTTTTATTACTGTAATATTATTAATGTAGGAATTACTTTCTAAATTAAATATTCCGTCATTTAAATTAAGCAATAATTTTCAGGGTAAGTAGAATAGCCCAATAATTTGTAATAAAATATTTTAATTTACATTATCGATTTATTTAAGTATTCAATAACAAATTACAGAGAGAGAAGAAATCACAAAGTAATATCGGTTGGTGAGATTCTAATTTATTTTTATTATAAATCCATTTCACGTCACAGCGTACATGTTTAAAGTACTCTTAGTATTGCAAGCACTGCCCCGACTACTGCGGTTAATATTGAAACCAGTAGAGTAACTACAATACCAATTAGAGCCACTGGTAGCTGAAACCAAATAGAAAAAATTAATTAATCAAATTATTGCAAGTTGCAAAATATTTACAATACGCCCTTGGTTTTCGTAAAATCTGAAATGCATGTACTGAGATAGGAATTGACGCGTAGGGGATCAACGTAGAGTTGAAAGAAGCCACACGGTCGCTCTGTCTATCCCCTCCGTGAATACTTTTAGCATGACATATGGATAAATAAGAATAATAATGGCAATAACAACTGCAGCACGCATTTCGCGCTATCTCACTTATTCCCGAGACTTTGCCGACTGTCATTGTTTTAGCTTAATTGGTGCGTGACCACTCGAACCAATAGTTTCTACTGCGAAAGTTCGTGTGAGTTTAGGCGTCCATTTTTTATTCTGAGCAATTGGGGCCGTAGCTCCTTTGAATATCATGGGCCAGCTTTTAATAAAAAACTACTTTGTGCTATTATTGTCTAGTAAGATATCTACTAGACAATAGTAAGTAGTCTAGTAAATATCTTACTAGACAATAGTAAGTAGTCTAATAGATATCTTACTAGACAATAGTAAAGCAAAGTAGTCTTTTTATTTCTTCCTTTTGGTTACCAATGGAATTCGTAACATTTTCAGAGCAATGTATGGAATATTATCCTACAGAACTAAATCTTCTTTGATTTTTTTTCCTTATGTAGTACTATAGACCATATTTAGGTATCACTTTACGAAATGTTATATGCAAATGTTACATTTTGAAACGAGAACATGAAATTGTTTAAACGAAAAGTTCATTGCGGAATGTAAAAACCGCATTTGGCAACGTACGTGTTAAAATATATGAAGCGAGATCTTGTAAAAAGTAATGTACATATACATATAAACAATAATATGTGTAACAGTTGTTTGTATATTGAACAGTATCTTTTATTTTAAGTATTCAGCAAACCAACGAATATGAAATTAACTCGAATAATTTATTTTTTTGTCAAAGAAAATTGTTGCTGCCTATGTGTTGCATGAAAGTAATATTTTATTTCAAAAGAGTTCGTTTAAAGAAATCATTGAAACAGTTGTCTTCGAAACAGTTTCAATCGTTATTTTAATCGAATTTGATCAGAAAATACTTACACCCAAAAGAGCTAATAGCAACTGGAGCAGGCCTAAGGCGAGGCCACCCCTACCACCATCTTTTGCCAAAGCATCAGTTATTTTTTTCAGTGGAAGAGCATCGCCTAAATTTTTCAGAGTAGATGGAAGTTTGTTGATAAGATCGTTGAGACCGTTTTTTTCACCCGACGATTCTAAGGACAAAAACAATACAAAATGAGAAGAAATAATTAAAAATGTAAAACATGTATTATCTCTAATTGGCGAACATAGTAAGGTTTCTGTGACAATTCTATTTGCATTTGTTCGTTTGTTCGTATTTATTAGCTACAATTTTATATCGTTTGACTTAAAATTTTGAGAATAGGCTCGTGAGACAAGCTACATTTGCTATATGTATAGAGTTTAACAGCAATTACACGAAGGAACCTGTCGTCGTCGACGTCGGTTTTCAAATTGATAAAAAACTGTGTTTTTGTATTGCTTCTGATCATTTTTGACTAGAATCACGGTAAAAGTGCCATAATTCATCGTTGATGACAATATGTCATCGTCGTTGACGTCAGTAGTCGTGAAATCAATAACCAATCAACAGTAAGTACTGTTTTCAATAGTTTCGGGTATGTTTAATCGTTTGGGACAACTTAAAAATCTCTAAATCTTATTCTTGTTCTACCTACATATTTACATTAGGCATACTAAATTTTAAATATACATTGGAATTCGCGTAAGGCGTCTGTAGACCCGATGGTGCATGTTATATATGATGTACAATAATTCTCTATTTGTTGCTAGAAATAATGCTAAAAAACTTTTAAAATTTAAATTTGTATTTGCAGAATTTAAATTCGTACATTCAAGTTTTCGCGAAGTTTAAGTTTACATATTTAAGTATTTTCCTTGTTTAATTTAAGATAATATAAGTAACACAAGAAATAAAAAATTCGTATGTGTGAAATCGAAATCTGTGTCTATTTATCTGTATGCGTGCATATGTGTGAATGTTGGAAAAAGTGCAATAACATAGTGGATATAGGATCGCTAATATTTTCGTTTATCATATATCAATCATTTAAGATCGTCGAAATAAAAGTTTCTTTTTAAGCTTCCGGAAATCATTCAATTAGCAAAAAAATATTTTTATAAAATCAGAAAATGCGGAAAGGCTTTTTTTTTACATCGGACACTATTTCAATTGCTAAAGGAATATGTCCATCAACAATGTAAATTAGTACGTATAATTTTAAATAAGTATGAATATGCATAGGAAATTTTGAAAGAGATATATTATTTTATGAACCGAATGTATTACATTTAACTACTGATAATGCTATTTTCTCGATGTATGTACATCATCTTTATAAAAAGAACATTAATTGTATTGTTAAAACACAAGAAAAATGCAAAAAATTTTTCATTGCCACGACCCTTTCGTAAATAAGAAGTAAGTATGTAATTATTTGTCATTACGCAGCTTTAGTTCCTACTTTTGGTTCCAGTAATAACAGTAGTTTTTTTTCTATCAGTATAATAACACGTTTTAATACTCTTTTCTGCCTTATGTATATATTTTGCAATTCGACAATTAAAAAAGTTAAAATTAGATTATTAATAGGAGTTGCACAATTCTGATGTGTAATGTCATGACTGTTGTATCTGTCATTTAGAAGATTATGGATCAAACAATTCCAGAGTGAATTCGAACCGTTGCGTTGCCGCGATTATCGAAAATGGCTTCATGAAATATGTAACCAGTCTGAGACCCTAAACTCCAGAGATATATTTTTTTGAAGTTTTTTGAAAAGTATACTACATTAATAAACTCAATATTAACATTTTATTAAAATGATTTAAATCAATAATTACGCTGGATTTATTTATATTTCCAATTTCATTTATTTACTTCGTTCGCGTCAAAGTTTTTTATCACTGATTTTGAAAAGATTTCATATTTTAAATTTACCATTTAAAAATTGGCAATATCGAAACTACTATTTTACTTCGGTCATTGTTTGCAGAATAACGAAATTTAGAATAAAATTTTTAATGGGTTACACTTGCCCTCTTTGTTCAGAAGTCATATAAAGAGAGTACTACGTTTGGATTTTAAGAAGACGATCCGAGTAAAGTAACGTTACGAAATGAGCAAAATGATCTACACGATATAAGCGAAGAAATTAGTCTACATATGCGAACACTCAGTTTTGAACATCTAAACCAAATTCGGACCATAATTAATTAGTTTTTAAGATAATGTTACATAATATTATATTTGATAAAAGCTGATTAAGTTTTGCACATTTTTTACATTCTCATTTCTTCACTTGAATATTATACGAATTTAATTGGTTATAAAAAATTGAATACGTTAAATCATTGCGTGATACATTCCAGAGGTCTGGATCATGACTAACCCGCTTCCATTGTTCGAGATTTAACACTAAAAATAATTTTAAGAAAAAAAATACGCCGACTTCGAAATGCACTAAAAAGTATAAAATAATTTCTATATCCTAATGAAGTAATTTCTATTTCATTCAATCATACAATTACGTAACAGATATGAATGAAACCTATTTACTCGTTAGGTATTATATTAAATACATTTCAACCTTTTCGGA